TTTTTTTAGGAGCTTTCTTCTTGTTTCCTTCCCTGTGATATGTGCACAACCTAATGTTTCTGCCTAACTCCATTCCCCCAAATGTTTGTCCTTACTGAAATGTCTCTGGGATCTTTACTGATAACTTCAACACTTGTAACTGATGAAATGTATTTTGGGGGGTCTATCTTAGAGTCAAAGAGAAGAAAAGAAGGGGCCTTTGAAAGATCTGTTAGTTACTTGCTTATCTTACCCATCTGGTGGTGTCTCATTTGTTCTCTGCCGGGCAAGCTTGTTGGTTATACTTAGTTTTGTATTTTTGCTGATGCTTTAGCAAGTACCAGTGAGCAGCAGCTTTTGGAGCCTCACTTGAGGCTTTCTGGTGCTCAGAGGCACTATGAGACAGGGTTCATTTTCAGGGTTGAATTTCAACAGGATAATGCAATGTATCACTAGCACAGCGTGGCCTTACAGACTCGACAGGAAAATATTGTTAGGCAAGCAGTTTGCTTAAAATAGGATTTACAAGACTAACAAATTTATAAAATGAAAGGTTTTCTCTTTTAAAGGGGATGTGCTCAAATATTATTAACTGGCCAGAATATCCTGGTTTGCTATAAAAGGTTAGCATAGCACATACAGCTTTATTCACAAAGCAAATGCAAGGTTTAATTCATGTTTTTTTAATGCATAGGTAATGGAAAAGGAGGTGAATCTATTTATGGTGGCTATTTTAAAGGTAAGGGCAAATAAATCTTTACAGATTCTTGTTTCAGTTCTGAGATAAACAAGTCTTGATTCCCGAGATACTTAATGGAAAGAGGTCTACTTATAGATCACCTTTTGCATGAAACTAATGTTGCATGAAAATTATTTTTATATGCATGACTTTCAGATAATTTATTTTGTAATATTTAACTTAAACTGACAATTAATTAAGGCTAACATTATTGGTTAAACATGACTTTCAGCATGGAGGTTAGGCAACTTTATTCATGAATAAACTCCTATCTTCCTGCCTAAAACTGTCAACATATTCTTTTGTTTATAGAGAATGTGGTCTTTTGCAAAATGAAAAGGTAAGAGACAAAAGCTCAGTAACACAAATTGAAACTCTGTTCCCTTGTACCCTCCCTAGTAAATATATAGACTGATAACGTCCGTTTGTAGATGGATTTCTGTGTTGCTTGGAGAAATAAAGAGTTCTGTCTAACCTTTCTGAGGGGTAATGACTTATTCTGAGAAAACATCCTGGCATAATTTTCAATTCTAAACAGTTATTCCTTCTTTTTTTAATGTCCCTTTCCTCCCCTTCCCTTTTCAAGGTTTGTATGCTTAGTGTTTGTTTCTGAGAACATTTCACTTTGTTTATGATATGCCACACAAGTTACTTTTATTTACCAAATCTTTGCAAGTGATGTACATCATGTAACTTCCTACGATCTTGTATTGGAAAGAAAATAGTGAGATTATAAAGTATTCAATATTCTTCAAGAACGTACAGTTTATTTCTTACAAAAACCAGGAAGTTTCTATAGTATTCCAGTTCTTTTTAATCGCATCATCCATATTTATGACATCCCACTGCTTATGTATGTTTTGCAAGTAGCTCTGGGTGGTGAAGTGCATGCCATTAAACTTATCCAAAATGGAGGTGTAGTTGGATGTAGGATATTTTAGCCTTTAGTGAAAATGCAGCTCTAACAGAACCTCTTCTTAAGAAGTTATTAAGGTTTGTTTCTGAAGAACATACTCGAGGTAGTAAATGCATAAAGTATTGTGTTTTGGTATGAAATCTTAGAAATGGAGGCTATGTATGACTGAAATAGTATTTTTATCTATAAGAAATCAGCTTTTTGAAAAAATTTGCTTTAGTATTGTGCTGCATGACCAAACACCCTATTAAATTAATGTAATAGTAAATGAATCTTCAGTTAATTGTGATTTTAAAATTAGAAAGAATATATTCTTTATTTCCTTGTTCAGGCTTGGGGAAGGGGGGTTATTTTTCTTGCATGCTTTGAGACCGCAGGTTTTGAGTTGATAGATGGATATCATTTAACATTCTGCATCAGGGAAGTGACTGTTTTACTAGATCTTTTACCCAAGGTGCATGTCGTATAAATAACAGTATCACGTATGCTAAGTCTTGATTTAGGATGGCAGTAAAAGTCTGACAACTTGTTTTGCTTCAGAAAATGCTGGACTTAACCTCAAGTATATGAGGATCTAATGTTTACTGAAGAAACTAGTAATAGCATTAAATTTTCTTCATTATAAATGCTGTGAACTAATTTCTTTAAGAAGGAATCATGTATATTTTCTGTCTTATGGCTGTGTTTCTACTGTAACTTTTGAGATCTGATTAGCTTTAATTCTTTCCCCCCGATATGTTCAAGTTGCTCTAGAAGCAGAGGGATTTCTCCTTGTTGCATCCATGTGTTACTAAGAAAATCACACTTGTATCTTTGTCAGGGAAAATCTGACAAACATATTTTTTCTTCAAACAGATGAAAACTTTATTCTCAAACATGACAGAGCGTTCCTTTTGTCAATGGCAAACCGAGGGAAACATACCAATGGTTCCCAATTTTTCATGTGAGTAGATGCAATGTGACAGTTGAGCTTTTCTTCAGCAGAGAAGCGCTGTTCATGAGAAAGATGGTATTGCTAAACTGACTGTGACAATATTACCCCC